CCCCTTCCCGGCCCCCTTCCAGGCAGCCCGCCAGGCCCCTCCTGGGCGGGGCGGCCGCGGCACCGGCTTCGCCCCCGCTCCCCTCCTCCAACCCCCGCCGCCGGGCTCGCCCTCGCCGCCCGACCCCGCGCAGAGGGGAAGGACCGGCTCCTCTCAGGAGCGCGCCCCCCCCTCCCCGGAGCCCGCGCCGGGCGGCGACAGCGCCTCCCGCCAGCAACGGCCGGCTAACGGGCAGGCGGCGCGGGGCAGCCCCGCGCACCCTTGCCTCAGCCCCGGGCAGCCACCGCTCACCTCGCCGCCGCCTCCTCCGCCAGCCGGAGCCGCGCCCCGCTCCCCCGAGCAGCCTCCGCTCCAGGAGTGGCGGCAGCGCTCGGCGGGAGGAGCGCCGCCCCCTTCCGCTCCGCCGGGCGCCACCTTCCCCTCTTGGGGGAAAATGCGCCACCAGCGCCCCACCGCGCAGGCGCCGGCCTTGCCCCCTCGGCTCATTAGCAGTCGGCGAGGGCCCCGTCCCCTCGCGGCGGCCGCGCGCGGTGCACCCTGGGAAGTGTAGTCCGCTCGCCGCGCCGCGCCGCTCTTCGGGCCGGTACGAGCGACGACCGAGAACAACGTTACCCGCGAGCACCCTCGGCGCCGAGTCTCAGTTTCCATAGAAGTGGAGAAAAATGATGTCAGTATTTCCGACGCGGCGGCCAATGGGGCCGAGGGAAGGGCGGGCTCTGCGGGCCGGGGCCCAATGGAGGAGGCGGGGAGAGGGGCGTGCCCGTCGTCCCCCCGTCAGTCAGTCAGTCAGTCGGTGTGGGAGGGGGAGGGGGACCGAGAGGCTCCGAGCCGAGCAGTCACCGCCGCCACCGCCGGGTCCGCGCAGGACGGATCGGCCCCTCCGCACGCCGCGCGGAGCCGTCCGCGAGCAGAGCCGTTGCCGGAGCGTTGAGCGGGGGCCGAGGCCGGCCGAGGGGGCCTGGAGCTGAGAGGAGGCTTCGCTCCGTTCCCTTCCCTCCGCCCCCCCCCA